TCCCGCGCGGGGAGCGCCGGGACCCCCGCGCCCGCCCCGTCCTCCTCCTGCTGCCTCCCCGCGCAGGGCCGAGCCCCGGGGCCACCTGGGGACGGGAGCGGTGGCTCCGCGAGCGCCGGGTGTCCCCAGCGCGCGCTGGGCGTGTGGGCGCCTTGGGGTTTCCCCCCCCCCAGCCCCATAACCTGAGTCTCCTGTCCGGCTTCTAGATCAAATCCCAACAGAGCGAAGTGACCAGAATCCTCGATGGGAAAAACATCAAATACGAGCTGGTGGACATCTCCCAGGACAACGCGCTGCGGGAGGAAATGAGGGCCAAGGCGGGCAACCCCAAAGCCATCCCGCCCCAGATCGTCAACGGGGACCACTACTGCGGGGTAAGGCTCACGCTCTGCCTGCGAACAGGCACCGGGAACGTGGGGTCATCGGGAATGATCCTGTTTCCCTTTTTCCCTGCTAAAGGTGGAGTGTCAGGATGCTTTTTCAAAGGCGTTTCTGATGAGGCGCCCACATTAAGCGCTTGTGGGTTATTGTGCGCTGGGGGTGTCGTGGTTTGCAGGAAACGGTGCCGTGAGCGTCAGCGCAAGTCGGGATGACTCCGGGGAGGGTGCGGGGCCGGGCCCCGGGGGCCCTCCGTGCTCAGCACCGTCACCATCAGCGCAAGTGACTGACGCTAGGGCCATGAGCCCCTTTGTGCTGGGCGCTCGGGGGACCCTGCGTGGTGTCCCTGGAGGGGAGCTGGGGCCGCGCCAGGCGCTCGGGCTGCCCCGCTCTGGCGTTGCGAGCAGCCGTGTGACTCTCTCTCCGCAGGACTACGAGCTCTTTGTGGAAGCCGTGGAGCAAAACACCCTGCAGGAGTTCCTGAAGCTGGCGTGAGCCGCGGCCCCTCCCGGCCTGGACTCCACCTGCATTCCTGAGTGCCCTCATCTCCCACCGCCTCCCCTTCCCGGGTGCCAGCGCCGTCCTGGCCCCGCGACCTGCCTCCCAGCACAGGGCAACCCGTGACCAAAACTCCCACTGCAGCTGTCTCCGATTCCCTCCTGCCTCGGCCCGGCGTCCTCTCGGAGGGATCCAAAGCAAGTCCGATGCTCCATGTGCAGCGCCTTGGGACGGAGCCGGCCCGGCTCGCGCAGCTTCCAGTGCCTCTGCAGCCGGCCAAGTCCCCGGGGCCGGGCCAAGCGCGGCCAGCCAGCGGCCCCCTCCTCCGCAGGGAAGCCCCTGCTCCCGACGGGAAGGGCCTAGGGCTGCCTGTTACTTCCCACTTCTCCCGGTCGCTGTTAAAAGCGTAAATCCTGCTGCCTCACTTCCTCCTTCATCTCAACTGCTGAGATTACGGCAACCAAGTTGATTTTTTTTATGTTAATTCAATGCAGAAATACTGCACAAAGGTGGTGTCTGCCTGCCCCCCACGGAGCGGGCAAGCGCTGGGAGCCCAGGGCTTGTGTCACCCACCAGGCCGCTTTGGTGGCGAGGGGCCCGCGCTGCCCTCGCCCCGCTGTGGTGCTGGGGCTCCCTTGTGAGCATTGAGGGCTCAAGGCTGCTCCAGATCAGCCGAGGATCCGGCTGTCTTGTCTTATCTTTCCTTTCCATTTCTTTTTTTTTTGGGGGGGATAGCTTTTTTGCAACCTGGACCAAGTGCATTTTGTTTTCCTGCCAAAAAGCAAGTTTATAACCAGTGTTGTCTTCCGAGATGCTATTAAATGTTACTGTACCTTTCGTGGTGGCACTCGTGGGTTTCTTTTTAACTGCTTTTATTTTGACTACAGGTTAAACATCGTCCTATGTAACGATTCCGGGTCAGTTCCAGCTTGGAGGAGCTGAGTCGGTTGCACTCATTGCTGCAGCCTGACAGAAAGATCTTAACGCCTTAAATTGCTGTCGCTGTTCAGACGCTCGCAGGACTTGCCCGAATATCCTGCAGTTTGGTAGCGACTCCCCAAATGGTCTCTCCGGTGCGTGGTAAGAGCAGCAGTTGTGGGGAGGGGGACACATGGGCAAAAGACCAACTCCAGCTCGTAACTGACCCGGTTGGGCACAGAGCAGCTCGCGGTGGGGGACAGGAGGGCGCCCTGCACGTGCCTAACGCCTCACCCAGACAGCACAGGGTTCTGGGGACTGAGTCACGGGTCGGAGGCGCCTGCAGAGGCGGCTGCTGCTGGTGACGCTTCCTGTGGCTGAGTTGTGCTCGGCGCAGCCGCTGAAGGGGCTCTGGGGAAGCTGAGCAGTTCCAGGAAGCACTCTGGACGTCCTGTCCCCTTCCAGGGCTAACTGCTCCTTTGAACTGCAACGGAGGTGGAAACTGCAACTAAATAGGTGCTTCTCGGGAGGCTTTAATACGGGCTGGGTGGTGGCTGTGCTGGGCTCCTGCTGGAAAAGGCGCCGCCTTGCGCAAGGGGGAGCGTCGCAGCCGGGCGGGAACTTGTTGGAGCTGCAGCAGGAAGGATGCCCCAAGGAAGGGGCCTGCAGAGCACGGCCCCGGGAGATGTTTTAGGGGTATTGGGTGAAGAGGAGGCAGAGGGGATGTGCTCTTCTCCGGTGACACGGTGTCCTGTTGCAGCCGCACTGCGGCCTGCGAGGGAGGGCGGCCCCACGCGCGGCGCTGGCTCTGGGCGCTCGCGGGACGAGTCCCAGCCGGAGCTGGGGGCTGGCCCAGGGCAGGGGCTCTTTGCCTACAGGAAATGCAGCAGCAGGATCAGGATGGAGCCTGGCCCCATTCCCAGCATTTTGATGGCTCAAGGCCTCAGGGTTTAGCTTCGCCAGCAAACACACCACTGAGCCTGCTTCTCTCTCTGTGTAAGTGCGGTGGAAACCTCGGGGGAACAGCCCGACCGCGGCTGTTGGTCCATCCTGCCGGGGTACAACCACATTGCAGCAGCCCCGAGCCCAGCTCAGGAACCGCGCGGTGCCCGTGTGAAGCTGGCAGGGATCAGCCCATCCAACCTCAGCAGATGCGAGCGCCTCCGTCCCTGGTTTATCTCCGCGGGCAGAAACACCCCGATGGGTTTGGAACTCACCCGTCTCAGGGAAACCACCCGCCCGCCAGGCACAGGACGGGCCAGGGGAGAGGCCCAGCCGCTGCCTCTGAGCTCCTCCCACCGTCCCAGGTAACGGTGCTACCAAGCGAAAGCCAGAGAGACAACTCTGCCCTCCCCAGCTCAGGGGGAGGATGTAATTCAGCTAACTGGGCAAGGCACCTCCTTCCTCTGGCGGGGCCCAGCACGGGCCGGACAGCAGGAGCAGCTGCAACATCAGGAACCGCCTTGCTAGAGGCTGCTGATCTGTTTGCAGCCCTGTCCCCCCTGTTTGGAAGGGGCCTTTTCCCGCAGCAGCAGGGAGGCGTTGGGGACGAGGCCGCAGTCCTGCAGGCTCCGGGCGTTGTCCACGTACACCCTCTGGGGAAAGGTGCTCAGGATCTCGTATGACTCGGAGTCTCCACCCCTAGGAAAGAACAGCGCGGTTTTTCCTCTGCACAGGCTCCCCCGAGGTTTTGCTCTAGCTAATCCAGCTGCAGTTATGTAAGAGCAAAGGGAGAGAGTTTCACGAGCACAGGCCAAGCAGAAGAAAGGGCTGCTCCTCCTAACTGTGAACAACGAGGCCCAGAGCAGCCGTTTCGGCCCGCGCAGCTGCAGCGGGGAAGGACACGCTGACATCGCAGCAGCGATGAGCTCATCCTGGGCCCCAAACCGAGGCCAGGCCGCAGGCCACAACAGCAGCGGGGCAAGGAGGAGGGCAAGTGTGTCCCCTCAGATGTCTAAAACTGCCCTAAAAAGGATTTCTGAGGCCCTTGGGTAGCAGCGAGGGCATTGGAGATAGTTGACCGAGCTGAAGACGGTTTATCCCACAGCTGTCAACCAAGGGCTGTCAACCAAGGGTTGTGCAGACACCTCGGAGCAGAGCAGCAACAGTCAGGTGAGGGACTGAGAGCTGGAGGCCAGTGCTGACCCAGGTGAGATGGGAATTTTGAGAGGCCAAGGCACACGTCTCTGCTGATGCATCTTGTTTGTTTTGGCAGAGTTGGGTGGCTTAATGATCTGACTGAAGAGTCTGACCCCAAAGGGGTTTCCTCGAGAGCACCTCTGCTGTTAGGAGGAGCCAAAGGGGGATTCCTGCCACCTCCTGGCGCCTGGGACTAGCCCTGAGCAGCTGCGTGACCGTTCTGGGGCTTCACAAGCTGTCCTAGGCCTACCTGGCCTGGGCGAGGCGTTGGCGCAGGTCCCCAATGGTTTCTGTGAAGAGCATCTTCACGACGTACGTCTGCTCGCCGCTCTCGGATTTGATCCGCAGGGTGCAGACGCCTGGGGCAGGAGGCTCGGCCTCTTCAGCTGCCTTCCCCCTGGAGGTCGGAGAACCCGGT